CCCCTTGATTTGTTGTCTTCATTCTCTTATTTCTCTTCCCAAAAGAGGAGGCCATTTTGGGTAACTCATGCAAATGTGAAGATTACTTGTGAGGCTGAAGATGGATACTGCAGTTTTGTTAGAGCAACATTGAAAGCTTGAGCTTCAATTTCCTATTCTCATTATTGTAGAATGAGGGCCTAGCTAGCTTAGCTTGTTCAGCATCTTTACATATTGAAAGTTTGAATGGGGGTCAAAAGAAACAAAAATGTACTCAAGATACCGTACGTATTAGTAGTGTCATGAGTCTTCAGTGTTGCTTCACTGAAGTAATCAATCTCTCTCTCTCTCTCTCTCTCTCTCTCTCTCTGCTATTATTTGCTTCAGTTCACTATATAATGGAGGACTGAACATGATAAAGATTTCACAATCACTGACATGGCGGATATCGATCGTGGGGAAAGTACTGCTGCACCCACCACTGCCAACATGACTTCTAAGAAGAAAGAGCTTCTTTCTTCTGCCTTGAAGAGAACCAGTGAATGGTTTGCTTCATGAATTTTCTTTTCCCTTTTTAATTACTTCTGTGGGTTTTAACTTTGAAGTGTCCTTGCTAATAAGATAACTTATTTCTCTCTTGTAGTTCCCTTGATTTGATTTCTCCTAAATATAGGGGAAAACAATAATTACTGTACTTGAAACTTGCAGGATTTTTTCTCAGGAGATACCCAGTGATGTTAATATTCATGTTGGAGGAGTTTCCTTCTCATTGCATAAGGTATTTTTGTACTTTTGATTCATGTATCAAATTATGTGACCATTAACACCAAAAACAATTATTTGGTACATATAATGAATATATATGTATAAAGAACTAATTTTTGTTCTTTTAATGTATGGATAAATCAAATAAGCATGGAGAGGCTAAAAAATAATCTGGCATAAACTAATTAAAAATAACTGATATTGGATTTTAACATCACCTGCCACAACTGCAGTTTCCTTTAATTTCGAAGTGTGGATATATAAGGAAACTGATATCAGAATCGAGTGATGCTGATCTATCTGTCATTGAACTACCTGATGTTCCGGGTGGAGCAGAAGCATTTGAACTTGCAGCAAAATTCTGTTATGGAATAAATTTTGAGATAAGTACAGAAAACATTGCAATGCTGCGATGCGTGGCAGAGTATCTTGTGATGACTGAGGACCATGCAGTTGGAAACCTTGTGGGAAGAACTGATGCCTACTTGAATGAAGTGGCGCTAAAGAGCCTAGCAGGTGCAGTTTCTGTTTTACACATTTCAGAGAACTTTCTCCCAATGGCAGAGAAAGTGAAATTGGTCAGCCGATGCATCGATGCAATTGCTCTTATAGTCTGCAAAGAGAGCCAGTTCTGCGTGTCTGGTATGGGAGATAGTGTCAATGAAAGTGCGGTTACTTCAGCAGTGTATCATTCAAAACCTGTTGTTGATTGGTGGGCTGAAGATTTAACTGTTCTTAGAATCGATATCTTCCAAAGGGTTCTTATTGCAATGATGGCAAGAGGGTTTAAACAATATGCTCTGGGACCAGTACTCATGCTCTATGCACAGAAATCTCTACGAGGTTTGGTGAGATCTCACTCCACAAAACAATATTTTTCAGTTTAGTAGTTCACATCTTTACTTGTAAATTCTCTTTTGGAATAGGAACTCTTTGGAAAGGGGAGGAAGAAAATTGAGCCACGACAAGAGCACGAGAAGAGGGTTGTCTTAGAAACAATAGTTAGTCTTCTGCCAAAGGAGAAAAATGCAATGTCAGTCAGCTTTCTTTCTATGCTGCTTCGTGCTGCAAAAACTCTCGAGACAACGGTTGCTTGCCAGCTAGATTTGGAGAAGAGAATGGGCATGCAATTGGCTCAGGCCGTTTTAGATGATCTCTTGATTCCCTCATATTCCTTTACTGGGGACACATTGTTTGATGTGGACACTGTGCAAAGGATCATGTCAAATTACCTTGAGTATGAAACGGAGGGAAGCCCTTTGCTCTATAATGCAGAGGATGAGTATGTTTCCCCTCCACAGACCGACATGGAACGAGTTGGAAAGCTAATGGAGAACTACCTTGCTGAAATCGCCACAGACCGTAATGTATCTGTCTCAAAGTTTATTGGCATTGCTGAACTTGTTCCAGAACAATCAAGGGCAACAGAAGATGGGATGTATAGAGCCGTAGATATCTACCTAAAGGTGCACATTCTTGTATATAATTTTTTTAAACAGTAATGATACATCTGCAATGGTTATTTAGACTTTCTATATTTGACAGGCTCATCCTGCTCTAAGTGACATGGAGAGAAAGAAAGTCTGCAGCATGATGGATTGCCAGAAGCTTTCCCGTGAAGCCTGTGCTCATGCTGCTCAGAATGATCGCCTTCCTGTTCAAACCGTGGTCCAAGTTCTATACTACGAGCAGCAACGCCTTCGAGACGTCATGAATGGCAATCTCATAGGTGGTGAATCCTCTGTTCTTCCTTCCAAAGGGAACTTGTACTCCACTGACATCCACCCAGTTCCTGATGAGCTCTCCATCTTACGTAGACAAAACGAGGAGCTGAAAATAGAGTTGGTGAAAATGAAAATGAGACTGAAAGAACTTGAAACATCAACTACGAGAACATCAATGAGCAGTCCAATGGGAAACATTTCAACATCTGCTGATAAACCTCCTCTGCCTCGAAAATCATTTATAAACTCGGTGTCGAAAAAACTAGGAAGACTTTCTCCTTTTGTGCGCACAGATGGAGTGACACCTTCCATTCCCAAAGGCCGCACCAGAGCTGCCAAAGATCGGCGGCATTCCATATCTTGAGGCATTGGTTTGTTACTGAGCTCTATAATACTTTATGAGGAAATCTAATGCCTTTGTTTGCTTTGTTTCCAAGGCTTGAGAAAATTAGTAGCTTCAATCTAAATCCTACCTTTGATCTGCTTGTGTGATGTCAATGTAAATAATATTGTCATTGTGCTTTGAATAAGATTGCATGATTCAAAGGCATTGAGTATTAAAGAGTGGAATGGCTGAGTGTAATTTTCTTTTAGTTGATGTTTCTCTCCATCCAAAACTGGTAGCCACAGGAATGAGTTTGATGTAATCTCCAACTAGTATGGTCCATTAGATCATCAACAAGATACTGTAGAGAGATAGCGAGAGAGAGAAGAAAAAGAAAAGGTCATAAACTTTAATTCCCATTACATGAGGTCTCCAGGTTATGAGTGTGTCAAGGCCATTCCATTTATGGAGGAACAAAATAGAGATGAAATATGAGAAAATAGCATCCAACATCAGGAAATTACCCCTCTATCAGTACCTTTGAGAGATTTTGTAATTATCAACAATCTGTCATATGCATATGCCTCTGTGAAGATTAGGGTCTTATTGATCAGAAGAAGCCAATTTGATTGAAAGAGTTGCTTCTGTTTTTAGCTAATGCAAGTAGGTTGAAGTCTTAAGCAATGAATGATGGAGTCATTCTATAGTGAGGGCCTTATCTAAGGTCCTTAGATGGGGCCCTATCTCTTAACCGTTGGATCAAACTAACCAATTTAATCCAACGGCCAACCAATTTGATCCAACGGTTAACCATTTTGATCCAACGGTTAAGAGGTAGATGATCCAAGTAGGGCCTGCCCTCAAACCAAAACTAGAGATTCTGGGCCTCCCAGAGGTGCAGTACCAGATCATTGCTGTTTGTGGGGTCTGCATTGAAATTATTAACTCCTTTGTGATAAAGAGACTTTGAGAAAGTAAAGACTAGCTACAGCAGACAGAGTAGCAGTATAGCATGTTGATCATGTCGGAGGGAAATTATCATGGAACCCAAAAGAGATACTTTCCAATATATGTGACTCCACAGAAGGACTCTGATGACCTTAGCAGAATCTAAAGTTTGACATTATTGTTTACTTTGAGTGTTTGTGGCTTGAAGCCTTAAATGGGAAGGTAAGAATCATTGAGAATGTTCGTGTTGTTTAAATTGTTTAAATGACTCTGTTTGCAGATAATATTCCTCCAAAACTTTCTAATTTGATGCCAACTAGGTTTCCATGCAGAACACAATGAAAGTTGAAATCCCCCAAGTCAATCAGAATTCAAAATTTCAAATTCCATGATGAAATAAATAGCACTCAGAGAAGTCAGACTTTACCACTTCAGTAGCATAGGACTTTAGATTCCTTAGATTTTCACATCATTATTTTACCAATAGTGGTGCTGAGGTAGGTGCAAATGCAATGCAACAAAAAGGAAAGTCAGTAACAGAGAGAATTCTGCATTTGGTCTCTTCTTGATCTCATCATGAATAACTTATAACTGCATTCTGATGGAAATCTACTTAAGAACCCTTTCTGATGAGAACTTTTTCCATGTGATTAGTTATAGCCAGAAGATCTTAGCCAAAAGAAAAGCATGCAAGATGAACAGCTTTATTTATTTATTTATTATTATTATAGAGAATTTACTTCCTTTCAACAAAGGTTGGAGTTCCTCATGGAACATTGATAAGGTTTGACAAGACAATTTCCTTTTATCAGTTGATATTTAACTACAAGATAAATTTCTCTTGTCAAAGTTCAAAATCTTAGCAACAAGATAATTTTCTTTTGTCAGCAGCAGCTGTTTGTGCACAGCATGCTGAGATGAAAAGATTCCCCTTATCTGAAAGGACAATCAGACTTATTGGTACACAACTGCAATTGTCCTTGAATCATGATGGAGTTCTACTTCTAATTGTGTTGAGTCTCTTTGGTCAAGTGACTATACATCTCCAAATCATGATTTTCATTATATTTCTTTTAGGCGACTAAAATAAGATAAAAATGAGATAAAGCAAGGGAGGCAAATGATCTTTATACAAAACGCCACCCATCATCACACTAGAAACCAACTAATTAGAATCCCACCCAAAACATCAATCACAAATTAGTCAATAAGAAGCGGTCTAAAATCTTATCATATCAACCTAGAAGATTTTTATTTTTTCAAGTCATGTTCAAGCTCAAAACTTGGAAAAGCCATGGAGGCAGTTTTAGCCTCTCATCCTGTCTCAATTGTTCTTCAACAGGATCAATATTGCTGCTGTTTTTACTTCCATTTCTGTACCCTGAGGTCATGTCAGGCACCTGGCCATGTTTTCTCTGATGGGTCCTGGAACTACTTGTCCTGTTCACATGGCTTGATCCAGTTGAAGAAGAAGAGAAACTTGGCCCTGAATCTGATGTTAGTGGTGCCTCTCCTCTCTTCCTTCTGTTGGTGATGTTGTTGTTGTTGTTGTTGTTGTTGTTGTATCTAGTGGGGCCCAGAGTCAACTCAATCTCACTCTCATCTATGATCTCTAACACCCCATCATCTCCATCTGTGTCTGCAATGTACTCTTCTGCTGCTGCTGCAGGCTGTTCTAAATCTAGTTTCCTTTGTGGGTTAAACTGTTGTGCCTCATGCTGATGATAATTCAACTGACTGAAGCTGGTTTCATTATTTAAATTCCAACTCTCTTGTTTCTGTCCCTTTGGCCTACTTTTACCAATGGAACTCTTCATCAATATCTTCTGGATATGATATAGACGATGAAGTTCATATACCTGCCGTACAAACTCAAGTCTAAAAAAACAATGCTACAGAAACTGATCAACTATAATTATATGTCTGAAACAATGGCTAGAATTATTACCTGCTCTTTGAATGTTTCTTCATGCTTTAAAATGGCCATCCTCATGCACTCCTTATCATGTGGCTTAAGAAGCTTCTCCATACTGAAGCTAAATTTGGCTAGCTTGTGCAAATTGCTGATTTCTGACCCCAATATCTGAATTGTGAAAGTTTGACACTTTTATTCCCAAAACTTGTATGCTCAGATCAGATATGCAGCTTGATTTGCATATCCTATCTGACAATGCTTCTCCTTCTCACCTAGTATATCTGCCAAATGAAGAAAAAAGGCAGCAAATATATTTAGAGAGCTAGGATTTTAATGCCCTACAAATATGATGGTTTGTGTTCTGCATAGAAACAAAGAGAGCACTGGTATGATGAGTTTCAAAGGATGATAGCAGCAACTGCTTTTGGTATAATTTGTCTGCTTGTTTCCGTATTCTCCTTCCCTCAGCCATTTTGGACCACAATAATAATTTCTTATGCAAAAATATCTTACAGCTTGACAGGGCATACATATCACTTATACCATCACAGTACCACCCTATTATATGTGGCTAATTCTCTGTAAAATATTTTTGTTCTTCTGATTTTCCTGCATCTCAGCTTCCTACTTTGGAATTTTATTTTTTTTCCATTTTGACTTGAGAGGTAATTAAAATTCTTTTCTGTTCATATTTATTTCCGACTTCCCAGATGATGATATCACAATGTCATATACAGTTGCAAATAGTAATTAATTTTCATAAATGACAGTACTATTCAACACTTTGTGATAAATGGTTTCTGTTTTCTTTACATTTGAAATATGATATTCTTTATAATTTTCAAGAAAGATCAATTAATTCTGTTGTTGAATCATTTTGTCTTATTTGTCCAACTGAATTGTCAAATTGGAAGAATAAGATGCTCTTTCCTTATGCTGTTAAAATAAATTCACTCTCTTTTATGCTTATATTTCATGTTACTGCATTATACAGTTTTGACATAATTGATGTTAAATTTAACATCTGAGAATTCTAAAAATTTGCAGAACCAATGAAGTGATCATGAGCTGCAAGCTGAATTACTTTCTTGAAAATCAAGCAGATGCAGATATATCAAAACCAGCCTCCAAAATTCAACATGTTTTATACATTCCAAAAAAATTCAAAACCCAAATGCATGATTTTGCACAAGACTGAAACATAAAAAGAATGATCAAGTTTGAATTTCTGACCTGCAGCCTGCAGTAAGAGGTTCAAGAGCTGAGGAGAGAGATGAACTGCTTGTGTTCTTTTGAAGAAGAAGAAGCAAAAGCCAACAGAAAAAGTAAAAGAACTGTTGAAAGAAAGCAAAAAGCTCCTCACCACACACACACACACACACACATGTACATACAGTTAGCTCTGTTGGATGGAATATGAGCTTGCCTTCACATTCCCCATCAGTATATACTACAACAACTGCAAGTATATGAATATATATATATATATATATATATATAGTTTTGAAGAATTTAAGAATCTCTCTCTTTCGCACACACAGAAACCAAAGCTGCTGCTGCTGCTGTTGTTGTTGTTGCACTTGGGTTTTGAGGCATGCCAAACAAATCCCAGTGTCTTAGCCAATGTGATTCAAGGTTTGTGAAAGAGATGCCTCCTCAGACAAGTCCAGCAGTGCAAAACATATTAAATTGAAATGAAATATAATAAACAGATATTGATCAGTTTATATTCTATCTTAATTAATTATATATAATTGCTGTTAAGGATCACAAAACAAAGGTTCTTTGCTCAACTCAAGACAATGATTAGAATAACAGCTTAAACCTACAACACAGTGAATCACATGCACCCAAGAATTATATATCTCAAGCAACAGTTGTCTCGATTAGATATGCACTAATTCTATAATTTTGTGTACAACAGTACAAGGCATGTTAATATGAAAAGGAAAAGACTGGTGGCATGGCCTGGCCTGGCCCGCCGACAATTAGATCACGACCGTACGATAATTGGGTACCTTTCAAACACTCCATCAAGAACAGAGGATCCCAAATCAAACACATACACACATATAGAAGCTTAATTGATTGTGATTTTCTATCTTTCTTTTGGCTTATAATTTGTCCATTTTATTTTAATTGAAGAAGGGTGGAGTTTAAGAAATCGTGCATGTATTCTATGTATGCTTACATTGTAATGTATGATGGGTGGGTTGAGTTGTCAAAATCTGAAAATGCAAGTGTAATTGGGATCTATGACAAAAAAACAAAAATAAAAACAAAAATTAGGTGGAATCATATGGCGAATGGTCATTTGGTTTAGTGACACTCAATCTCCATTTTATTGCATAAGATTATGTATTCAAATTTTATAAATGCCACTAGCATATTTACTGAGGAAAGTCATAAATCGAGCAAGTTAAGAATAGAGAAGATAATGAATAAGTACGGACTCAACTACCCCTAATCATACAGATTGTAAAATGGAACTCGCATACTCTTTGATTTCGTATGTGTTAATAAATGCATGAAAAATCAGGCATCCAAATAATTTCAATACCCATTTTCAACAATTTTCAAATAAGTAAACATGTCACAAGTGCATACAGTCCTCGTCTATTATTTGACATCATAACATCCAACTCATATATGATTCCTCATTACATACCCACAAATGAGTACATTCATAAAATAAAAAATTGTTAAAAACATTATAATATTATTGCTATAATTAAGAAATCATTTATGAATCAATAATGACTTCCAGACTAGTTATTCTACATGATATAAAATATAAAATCCTGGATAGATATCTAAAAATGAATTATAAGAAAGATATGTTTACAAGTAATGTTGGATATATACCTAAAAAAGAAGAAGCAAAGACCAAGACCCACAGCACAATGATTGATTATAGCCGTTTGTTGAACATGTGAGTGGGGGTGTAAAGAATAATCCAACCGTCCAGATAAGTGGACCCAAAAATACTGAATATGTGCAATGACTAAAAAACTCACAGCATGAAAATTTGATGGCAGGAGAAATCAGAGATGGATAAATAATAATATGTTTCTGTTTCTGGTGGAGTGGGTTTTGTCATTTCCTCAATATTCTTCAATATATATTGCAGAAATAATGCAGAAGACAGATTGGAAGAGAAGATCCAATCCAACTATCTTAGGCCATGAAAATTAGGAAATTAATTCATTACAAATGGATGGAATCTGGATTTGGTTGCATCATGCATGTTAAGTTAAAACAAAATAATATTATTAGAGTAATGCTACCTCAACTGCCACATAAGATGATATAAGAATGTGGTATACAAATGTGGTAAGAGTAGCATATGTAATTATATGAAAAAATAAAAAATAAAAAACAAGTGCGAATGTTTCAATTCAAAGTCATGGTTTGGGTGTTAATGGAGTCTAGTCCAGTTGAAAATGATCTTAACTCGCACTTACACATCAGTAGTCTTATATTTGAACTCACATAACACATTAACAATGTGTGAGAAAATCTTCATCCCCATTATCGCTTTTATAAAATAATATATATATATATATATGTAAAGTCGTGGTTTGTGTGGAGTTTCGTGATCTCCTCCAGGTATTTTGTACTTTTCTTTATGATCTCGTGATGTATTATTTACTTTATTTTATTTATTATTTATATGAGAGAGAGAGAGAGAGGAGTTGGTGGTGGGTGGACACGGAAGCACGCGTTGCCGGGGAGAGGAGGTGCAGTCGTATGGGGCGGTGGGTCCATTGGGTTTGCTGAAAAAGCCTGAGCCCACTTCCTTGCGCTGTTCTTTGGTCCCACGCCCACTTTATTCATTCGTACTCACAATTTGGAAGCTATCCACACAAAATATAATTTCAATTCAATTCAAAGAGGAGGGTAATATTTTTCAAACTTATGTTACTAAATAAGTAAGACTTGTATAGTTCCGAATGTGGCAGAGTCATTCTTTTTTACAAACAAATAACAATATTATACCCAAAAAAAGCAGTATATCGCGAATGCAAAGAATTATTGTATAATAATAAAGTACGATCACGTAGAATTTAAAGTTGATTATATCGTGTGACTATATTCTAGTATGACACAATATTTGCTCCACATGCGTAGACTTTAATTTGCAGGGAAAGAGAAATAACCACATAAGAAAGGTAAAATACAGATGGTTGCGAGCGATGAGGGAAGGAAAGGGTCCCAGACTTTAGAGTGTGTCTCAAGATTTCAAGACTTGACTCAGCGAAGGAATCTAATGGCTGCCATGCCATGTCGGTGTCCACTGGATCCTCAACCAACACCACCGTCTATGATCTATGCCACTTCCAGTTTTTAAGTTCTCTCCGTACGAGAAAAATTAGTTTTTAAAAAACAAAACTATTAAGTTGTAATCAGGGATTTTGGCTAAACAAATAGATTGCGATCAGGTTCAAAATTGAGCTCTGCATCATCATCATGCATGGATGTACGGACATTTAACAATAGAAATAGTTATTAATGGTCATTGCGATTTAAATGAAATATTGGCATAGAGAATTTGAACCTTTTTTTTTTTGGGCAAGTGTTCAAATTTTATCTTTTGATTTCTTTTATTAGCCCAAATGAGTAATTACAGTATATTACGGTAGTATGCTATGTGGTTCATGTGTGTTTTGAATGCGCACGTACGAACCTACATTATGAAAGATGAACCAAACATTTATGGGATCTACCTAAATATGTGAAAAGACATTACTACGACTTTGGGTGCAATGTTCTCACATCTCCTCTATACTTGTAAGTTGTAACTATAAACAATTGATGCTCTACATCGATATCCTCTAGTAAGGCGGAGCTACTAGTCAACTCGAAGTGACCGTGGTCCTCCTAAACTCTAGCAATCATGTGAAATTTATGAATTTTTGTAATTGTTGATCTTCTCAAGAAATGAAAGTTAATTTCTCCACTATTCTTAATAGCGTGTACAAAATAATCTAATAATTTGTATAAAAAATGCTACCATCAATTGCATCTAAGCTCGTGAAGTATTCTCAGCCATTGATTTATTAGTATGAGGATTGAGGTTTCCTCATTTTTAAAGTGAAAAATTTTATGCTTAT